AGACCAGCATGAACTACATAGCGAGATACTCTCTCAAAAAAAAAAAAAAAAAGCCAGGTGTAGTGGTGCATGCCTCACCTGTAATCCCAGCACTTGGGAGGTTGAGGTAGGAGGACCACCATGAATTTGAGGCCAGCCTGGGCTACAATGAGAGTTCAAGGCCAGCCTGAACTACATAGCAAAACCTTTTCTCAAAGAGACAAAAAATTATATATGAAGGGTTGAGGTGTAGCTTCCTGGTAGGGAGCCTGTGTAGTCTGGCATGCTTGATTCAAACCCCAGCACCACTCAAGAATAGTAAAGTAGGGGCCGGGGAGGTAGCTCAGCAGCACAAGCGCCTGCCTGGCAAGAACAAGGTCCTGAGTTTGATTCCCGGTACCAAAAAAAAAACAAAAAACAAAAAAGAATAGTAAAGTATACAGGAGGATTGCATAGATTCTATGCCATACATTTGGGTGGTTCTGTTTTGTTTTTTTGGTACCTGGAATTGAACTCAGGACCTTGTCCTTGCCAGGCAGGCGCTTGTGCCGCTGAGCTATATCCCTGGCTTCTATGTAATTCAGTATTAAGCCATTTTGCATGAGGGGCCCGGGCATCCTTGGCAGATGCTGAGGGACAACTGCAACAGACCCCATAAGCAGCAAGGGCCCCACGTGATCATATCACCTGGTGACCTCGTGGCAATCTTAGTTTGTGTAAGTGCCCTCTGTGACACGCAACGACAGAATCACCTAACAACTTTCACAGAAGGCCCTGTTGTTAACATGCCTGTGTCACACGAGAGAGACATGGGAATTGGAAAATTCAAGCATGGGATTGGAAAATTATTTAATTTGGTCCATAAATGTTCTCTCATGCCAAGCACTGTCTTAGGTAGTGAACCACAAAGTTCCTGCTCTCTTGAAGCTTAGATTTAATGCAAGACAAACAATAAAAAAGTAAAATCACTTTGGTGCTGTAATCCCAGCACCCAGGATGCTGAGGCAGGAGGATGAAGAGTTTGAGGCCAGCTTGGACTACACAGTGAGACCCTGTCTAAAAAAACCAGAAAAACTATAATAAGTAAAATAATTTTGTGTGTGTGTGTCTTTTTCAGGCAGGGTCTCATTATGCAGTTCAGGCTGGCCTTGAGCTTGCTTTATAGCCCAGGCTGGTTTTGAACTCTCAACAATCCTCCTGCCTCAGCCTCCCGAGTGCTGGGATTACAGGCATGCGCCACCATACCCAGCATGACTCACATTTTAACAGGATCCTGCTCGCTGTTTTATGAAACTAAATCGTAGAGGGCCAGGGAGGCCGGGTCCCCTATGACTGCTGTAACGAGTATCCCCAAGTCTCTGCAGGCCGAGCTGGCCGCGTGGAGACTTGGGGCTCCTCTCTTTCTTGCACACCCCTGTGGTCCCCCTCCTCACCTAGCATGCTGGCTGCTGCGGTCTCAGAAGGTGGCAAAGGGACAGCCGATAAGAGGGCACCACCTGTGTCCAGCCCAAAGAAGCAGGTGTACAAGCCAGAGGCCGAGGAGTCAGGGTGAACGTGTCCCGGGCTAGCGTGTGTCCTGCGGCGAGGCCCCGCCCCCGCGGAATGCGCACAGGTCCCTGTGAGCCTGTGTTGCCTCTTGCAAGTCTTTGCTGAGCACCCACTCTGCGTCAGGGTGGCACCCAGGACAGCACTGACTGAGCAGCCCTCACCCTCGCAGGGGCTCATAGCGTGTGACAGGCCCATCCTCAGACAGGGCCTCCCCAGGGCGTGCAGAGCTGAGGTGGGGGCCCAGGGGCCCGGGGGAGAGCAGGAGGAACCCAAAGGAGGGCTTCCTGGAGGAGCGGGCAGTGCCGCGCCATCACTCAAAGGTCACCTTCCTGAGCTTAACAATCGCTCTCCTGTCTGACCAGTGGATAAAGTAACTTCGCGGGGCTGGGCAATAACCGCACTAACCTGTAATCTAAGCTATCCCTTTGGGCCTGCAGGCAGAGCCAGGCTCCAGGGGACCCTCCTGCTACCAGCGACCCCCGAGCTGAAGGAGACCTGTCCCAGCATGACCAGTGAGCCCCCCCGCACCCCCGCTTCTGACCAGCGTCCCGGTGCTACTTTCCCCCAGCTAACCCATGCCAGCCCCTCCTCCCCCCAGGCTCCAGCCAGCACTCCGGGGCCTTGGTCCCAGTCTGACCTGGCTTGTGAGACTTGAGCAGCCTGCTCGGTGACCCCTTCAGGGTGACCTGTGACCCCTCCTTTCAACCAGTGGCTGGCTCCTCCTCCTCCTCTTCCCGCTCGGCGCACCTGCCCCTGCCCGCTCCTTCTCCTCCCCTCCCCCAAAGTGCGGGGGGGGGGATGAAGAGGAGAGGAGGAAGGAGCAAGGGGGGTGACATTCCTTGGATTCCCTGGACGGGGAGAGAGGGCGGGCCTCAGGGGGAGAGCAGGCGAGGGCACCCCGCGCCGCACCCGGGCCTCGAAGGCAGGTGGACCCGGCGGGCAGATTGGAGGCCATCAGAGATAAGAGCGGAACGGGTCCCTCAAAGGTCACTAGCTGGTCACTGCCCAGGACGAGAGCCCCGGCTACCTGCCCCAGCGGGAAGGCGTCTGCGAGGCCCCAGGCCGGAGCGACAGGGCCGGGGACGCGGACGAGGTCGCGGGGACCCTGGCTGCCCCGCAGGGGCGTCCGGCG